ATTAAATATTGAGTTTTTCCTTCAAGAAATTCTCAGTAGTTGCCCGGAGTCAGGAAGTTGGCGGTGTTTCACTCCGTGCCTCGGAAAACACGTAAAGCCGTTGGTCCTGCGCCTGATCTCTCTCCGGTCGTGTTAGTTTACCGTCCCATCGGATTATGAGAGTGAGGGAATAGAGAGTGCACCTGTGCTTGCGCATACACTTGGGCTCTATAATCCTGTCCTGCGCCGAGCAAGCCGCCGTAGCCGAAATTCGGTCTGGAGGACATTAATGTTAAGAATGTTGTTACTTATGCAGTTTAAAGTAAATAAGATTTGTACTTTTCTATCAAGAAATTGTTGCTTAAGTGGTACTTGGAAGAATTACACCATTATTAAAAACTGGCAAAGGAAAAGAGACTTAATTAGTTGTTTAATTTATATTAATCCCAACTATATTGAAAATGAGTGATGCATTTTATTTCATATACGTAATAATTGATGATAACTGATCGTTTCCACTAATCGAAACATAAAATAAGTATTTTTTTCTACTAATAATTGCAAAACATGAGGTTAATCTGAAATGTGAAGCAAACATTCATATAATGCCAAACCTCAAGATTATTCTGTCGATCTGAGTAATCAATTTTACACCAAATCGATGACGGTAAATTAACAACAGCCTTGAAAGTGCACGACTACATCGTAACTGTATCGTTTTATTATCGACAAAACATGACTGCTCACTAAATTGATAGCTAATCACATAAATTAGCCGACATCAAAGACGGTATACCGAGATTATATATGTAAATGTAACGACAAACGCTATAAATAATTAATAATATGGATCCATGGTTATCCTATAATAGTTATTACATCAATGAAACTCAAGATAAAGGTGTCAAGGTCAATATCATACTTGGCTCCTCACTATTATCCGCTTAACGACAATCAATTAGTTTCCGGGTTTTGGTATTGTTATGTTAGTGGTGTATACTCACGCTAAAGCAATTAAAACCATTTAAGAGTTATACCACTATCTCAACTTATTTACGTCACTCACTATATTATTATAGGACACTTAGCTTAGCTTAAATCATCGACGGATTTAGATGAATGTAATGAAATCACTGCCTCGGACATGGGCATGGGCCCTATAAACTCAAAAAGATGCAAATACATACGTTCTTTGAATATTTGCTTTATTAATAAATATTTTAAAAGAGAAAGTAGTAAGAAGAAATATTTTCCACATGAACGAATATAATAGTTTGATATGGGGTAAAAGTTACTTTATATTCTTTTGGTACATTTTTGTTATTGACGAATATAAAGAAAACAAACGGTTCTAAGTCAAAATTTTATGAAAGAAGTCTCATTAGTTTTGCGTTTAGGCGCCGAGTGTGCAAACATTAATTTATTAGTGACCGCAAGTACGGTTTCCGTCACGGTCGCTAGGCTGGAAATCTTCTGGGTTACCTAACTCATAAATGGGCGGAGGCAGTAGAGTCCAAGGGGGAGGCGTTGGCCGTTAGTTTGGACATAGCGGAGGCCTTCGATCGGGTTTGGCACAAAGCGCTTCTTACGAAGCTTCCTTCCTATGGGCTTCCTGAGAAATTGTGCAATTGGACCACCAGTTTTCTTACTGATCGGAGCATCAAGGTTGTAGTAGACGGTACATGCTCCGATTACAAGCCCATTAACGCTGGTGTTCCACAAGGCTGCGTGCTATCACCGACGCTGTTTCTTCTGCATATCAATGACATGTTGGTTGTATGCTTGTTATGCTGCTGCAATGACATGCAAACCGGTAACATTCATTGCTATGTAGACGATAGCATTGGTGATGCTTTATATACCGGCCGCGTCAATATTTCTCGGGAAAACGTCGCAGAGTACCGGGGAAAACTTGTGTCTGAAGTCGAAACTTTGTTGAACAAAGTCTCGGACTGGGGGCGACTAAATCTAGTCCAGTTTAATCCCCAGAAGACACAAGTTTGCGCGTTTACCGCTAAAAAAACCCCTTCGTCGTATCTCCTCAGTTTCAAGGCACTCTCCTTGTTGCCTTAGCCATATTGGAATCCTCGGCGTCGACATATCGAGTGACGGGCAGTTACGTGGTTACTTGGAAGAGAAAGCCAAATTGGCCTCTAAAAAGCTTAGCGTGCTCAGCAGAGCGGGACAGAATTTCATGCCGGCTCACCGCCTGCAACTTTACAAGACGCAGGTTCGGTCGCACATGGGATACTGTTCCCATCTCTGAGCCGGGGCTCCACAGTGCCAGCTCCTTCCATTTGATCGCATCCAGCGCAGAGTAGTTCGAATCGTCGGCGACCGAGCTCTTTCCGATCGGCTTGACTCTTTAGCACTACAAAGAGATGTTGCATCTCTTTGCGTATTTTATCGCATCTACCACGGGGAGTGCTCTGAGAAATAATTCGGACTAATTCCAGCCGCACAATTTCACCATCGCACATCGAGACGAAACTCACGATATCATCCATACCATCTGGATGATTGGCTATCCACCACCGTGCGATTTAAAAGAACTTTACTTCCTCGCACAACTTCCTTGTAGAATCGACTACCACCAGAGATTTTTCCAGACCGATACGACCTTTAAGAAAAGAGCCTATTCCTTTTTAAAAGGCCGGCAACGCATCTGCAATTCCCCTGGTGTTGCAGTTGCTCATGGGCGACGGTAATCACTTACCATCAGGTGAGCCGTATGCTCGTTTTCCCCCTCCTATAAAAAAAGCTGCAGTGCATAGAAGTACGTTTGGTCGCATATTTTCAACAGCTGTAAAATCAGCCTGTAATTATTCGTTAAAAAGCCGTGACGAGCTCATTTTGAATTTAGTAATCATGTCACGGCATCTTTCCACATACACTTTAGTCTGTGATGTTATAACACAACCAGCGTTCAACTATTCCGCTCATGATCAGACACAACAGTGTAGTTCTGAAAATGAATCTCATGCACTCTTTTGATCCAATTCAAACCGTATCCTCCTCATATGTGAATCGCCTCAGTAGCAACCGTTGTAGGACATTTATGATCGTAATATTATAATATATGATCGTGAAATGATATTGTCCCCACCTAGAACGAATGTTTAAATAATGTGACACTTTTTGAAGTAAAGTCGATTATACCTAAATCTTCACAGACAAGTATTGTAAAAGATGTAAAAGTAATCGTACGGAGTGAAGAAATGTAAAATGTGAAAAGAATTTCTTAACGTCCGTGGCACATGACTTGTGACATAGTTCAACTTTTACGGTCGAGTATAAATTAGGTCGAAGTCGTCTCCGAGACGTCAGTGACGTGCATACGGTTGCTTAATAATGCAACATTCGATGGCGCCACCAAGCCCGGACTCACTGGAATTCCAAGTTAACGTGACCGACACCTCACCAAGGTTTAATTATGTTCGAAATATATTAATCGTTTATTTTTTCTGTTGACAAATTTATGTCAATTACTTAGCTGTTAGAAAAAAAGATAATTGATAACGTTGATTAGCAATTAAATATAATAAGTGCATAAACTTATTTTACAACGACTGCTAATAACGGATCATAAGTCATCTGTAATTTCTTGAGTGCGATGCAAGGTCTGAGCGTAGACAGGAGGTTCGGTAAGATTTAAAAGTGACAGGTTTTAAACTAGGAATAATAACTAAAAGTAACAATTAATGTGTATATTTTCATTATTAGATAGTACTGGGTTTTATAGGCAAAAGGAAAAGTATACCAACATTAAATTTTCGAAGACGAAAGATCGTAGATCGAAAAGACCTCCTCCAAATTTAGAACACTTTATAGCAAAAAAAAGTTTTAATAAAAAAAGAAGACTTCAAAGGCCTAAAAAGAATGAAATAATTTCACATTTTCAAAAAGTCAGTGCTAAGAAGTAGTGTAATTAAAGCATTAAAGTTCCGACATCAGGATGTGAAACGATTTTATTGCTTTTATTTATTTATTACTAAACGTTAATTTTAGTAAAATACATTTTATTTAATAAACGTTAAATTTTAGCAACCATCTTGAGTGGACTCAAAAATGTCACAATCTCATTGTCATCTAAATAGTTCATTAAAAACTTCACCCCTCCAGCCTTAGGGGTGAAGTGTTTTCTCTACATTTATATGGGACTATCCCCGAAGTTATAACCTATCAAAAAAGAATCATCAAAATCGGTTAACTACTGACGAAGATATCGCGTAACACACATGCAGAAACAGTCGAATTGCAAACCTCCTCGTTTTTTTGAAGTCGGCTAATAATACTTTATTTATCTCGTGCAACGTTTTTATTTTTTTCATTACGGAGTGACTAGTCATCTGTTAATCGGACGACAAATAAATTTTATTCTTCCATTAATCGGATGAAGTTTTGGAAGTGCCTATTCATACGATAACCGGACGAATATTTTTTTTATATATACGATTATCGTGTGATTTATTTATTTTTTTTTCGTCAAATATATTTTAAAATTAAAAAAAAATGAGATAATAAGATATTTAAATAAATTTACTCTGATACTTACCCGTATGATTAGACTATTTCTGTTTAATAAAACATTACACCAATCTTGCAATATCGGTAACAGTAAGTTGAGGTGCGGCTGAGGCCCATGGCCCTGTACATTATATTGATATAATCCTTAACCTTATATAAATTAAAATATAATGTTGAAAGAATTGAACTTTTTAATTTTCAAAATTGTAGGACTAATAAGTATTTTTTATTTATACGATTATCGTATGATTAGCAACAGTGAGTTAATATCGATAGTAACTGTCTTATACGAACCGGATATGATACTATTTCGATCCCCAACTACGAACAATGTCCATAAGCGGACGGATACAATAATTTAGTCGTCCGATTAGCAGACGACTGGCATCGTCTTTTTCATTAGTTACCTACTATAAAATTCATATTCTCTTGACGACCTCAAATTCATTAACGTGTTTTTCATTTTTTTTAATCATGAAATCATTGTATTATAGATGCAGACGTGGGTGTTGGTGGTATGCACAGCCGCACTTGCGGCGTTAGCTACCGCGCAAAAACCTGGACGTTTCTTGTCTCTGCCTGTACCGCAGAAGTGCGCAAACAGTGAGTTTACTTTTATAATATCTTGGATTTAAAACACATTTAATAGTTACATTTTTACACATATGAATAGACATCTTATCAGGTAATATTTTTTTGCAAAAAAAAATTGAAAGGTCATACACAATGTTAAAAAATAAAGTATTTATTGATATAATAAATTCAAATATATCTAAAGAAGAATATTAAAACGATTATTTTATTTTTTCGCATCTTTACCTTCATATATTAAATGGTGTTATTTAAGTTCGTTACATTTTTAATTAGCTCGTTTCTATTTCTTGTTTAGCAGTAACTGGTTTCATATTTTAATAGATAATTAATAATATGTGGAAAATACTCGTTCTGTCGTAGGTTGTTTATAAGAATGTTTAAAGAAAAAATAATTGTCACAATAATTTTTTTCTCGAAATTATAAAAAATCTCACATGAGCAAGACCAAATACTATTTATAATCAGTCCAGGACATTTAGCCAATCTTTGACACAGTAGATTTAGTCATTTGGTCTTTCATTCTATGGAACTTGCAAAATCTCTTGGACGAATAAATGCATAGTCGGTTATGACAAATACCTTTTACTTTACAAAATCGGGATAACATTTGTGAATGATTTGATGCAAAAATAGTATGATGCAAGCTTTCCTTTTAGTAATAAACAATTTTCATTGCAGCAGAGGAAGCAACTTTTATAAAAAAAAATGAAACTCAAGGAAAAATTCATTTATAACCTTAGATGATCCTATTAGCCTTATGGCCATTTACAGGTGACCTTGAACTGACTCAGTCAAGACTAATCTTGCATCAATAGAGTGTGGTTTAGCAATCTGCTGTTTCGAGAATATTATTATCATAAAGTGAGCCTCGATGGAACCTTATCAGTATTTTAATATGTAATTTCGAATTTGATTCTGGGCCGGATTTACACATTTAACAAAGATCTCAAATTATACGTAGAAAATATGATGTAAGTCATAAGCTTACTTGTATATGTTCGATGTGTGTTTTTCAATTTAATTCGTTCATTTTGTTTGCTATAAGCAACCATGATATTTGATTATATTTAATTAATACATAAATATATTAGGTTAACAGGATAGACGAAAACGACACCAGACGCATCTATTTAAAGCTACTAAACCGCCGCATACGATGCGATTTTACAGTATATCTATTCGTGGGTGTACACTGTACACTGCATACGATATAGTAACGGACTCACTTCTTAGTCCGCAATTACAAAAGTTTTCATTTAACATATTTTATAATTGCTTTTTACTGTTCACCAATCATAAATCGACAACTAAATTAGGTACCTAATCTAACAAAATATTACATTAATCTCAGAAGCAATGAATTTTCTTTTAATACTATTATTCTTGAATATACAAACTTTAACTTTATAGTTGTGTTTGGTCCGCTTCATAGAAAGTAAGAGCTTCCGCAGGTCGTTATACAGCAAGGTCGTACCGAGGACGCCGCTCTTTCGCTCCTTCGCACGGGTGCTTTCAACACGTGTCGCGCCCGGGAAAGAACTATTCCACCCTTTATTTGAGTTCCCAACTTCCTTACATAATCAATTATCGAAATTTCTACATATTTCACGCATTTATATATACCTCACACATTTATACGAGGTAGAGCTATGCTGCACCTATATTATGGTTGTAGCACGAATGTTTCGGTTCAACCGGGCAAGGATCACGCTCTCACAGAACACCATTGTAAAATAACAGCTTAGTACTACTGTGTTTCGTTTGGTGAGTGTAGACAACCGGAGACCCATATTACAGGATACGAAGCATTCCTCATGGATGACAACGCATCTGCATTTTGATTCTTAATCGAGGATAAATGTAGATGTCTAAGGGCCACAGCATCAACTTACCATCAGCTGGAATGTGTGCTCGCTTGTCACCCTTATGGACCCCACACACGGTCAGTTGTACGAAAGTGAACTGTGAAGTCATCAGTTGAACTGATCAGTTCGAACGGATTTAAGCCAAAGAAATTTGCACACACACGGTCAGTTCAACTGATCAGTTTAAACTAAGACTCGATATTTTTTAAATATCGTGTTTTTGATATATCGATAATTATAAATATATCAATATTGGAGTTTTATATATCGTAAGTTAATATACAGTAAGTCAATATCGGAGTTGTATATATCGAAAAAAACATACACATACTATATATACAGTTACATAACACATATAGGCACACTATATTTAGTTTAGTTTTCTTTATTTTTCTTGTGTTTTCTCATAGAACATAAATTTTAATTTTTAGTAAAGAAGTGTCAGATAAAATTGCGTGAATCCTATAAATCAAAAATAATGAAAATGTAAAAATGTTTGTTTATTAATTTTTTATTTTGGTTTTTATTGAGTGCAAGATAGAGCGATGCGAGCTCGGGACTTAGGGCATCCCGACTCGGACAGGCTAGGTTAGAAGGAGATGGCGGGGTCTATTCGCTTGCTTCGCTTCGCGGGGCTCCGTCGACCGGGTTTCCCTCAACTGCTCTACGGGAGAGAATTGGGGGAAGGAAGCATCACGCCATTCAGCGTAGCGCAGTCGAGGAAAGCCCGGTCGGCAGAGCCCCGCTTTGCGAGGCTCCTGTTTCTGAGTGACTTCTAAAAGAATAACCAAGAAGAAAATGGCGGGGTCTATTCGCTCGCTCATTCGACCCCGCCATCTCCTTCTAACCTAACCTGTCCGAGTCGGGATGCCCTAAGTCCCGAGCTCGCATCGCTCGATCCTACACTCAATAAAAGCCAAAATAAAAAAATTAATAAACAAATATTTTTTTAATTTTTTTTCCGAGTTGAGATGCCTTAAGTCCCGGGCTCGCATCGCTCGATCTTATACTCAATAAAAACCAAAATAGAAAATTAATGAACAAACATTTTTCAATGTTTCTTTTTTTTAATTTTTTTTTTGTAGAATATGAAAAAAATATAATTTGATTATTTAAAAAAAGTTATCAACAATTATACATCATCATCATCATCATCATCACAGCCCTTAAAGTGCACTGTTTGTTATGGTAACAATTATACATGAATGAATGCATTTCCATGAACATTTAAAGCCTTAAAACCAATGTAAGTTTTCATTTTACTTTATTCTTGTAACTATTTTCGTAAATCCGCCCTAATAATGAATATTTAAAAAAATCATCGAAATCTGATGATTTTTCGATTTTCTAAAGCTAAAAACGAGGTGACCGCGATAGTATAAAATTACCGAAAACTAGGTTAAAAACTAATACTCCATTGAAATAAATAAGGTTTTATAAAACCAGACTTTACTATTAAAAAAGTATAAAATTATAAAAGGCCATTAATTCAAAGCATTGTTAACATTATTGCGTCTTCAATACTTGGCTTTGGTATATACATACAAAGTTCTATCGGGTCATAAATTTTGTATGATGCCAACATTATATATGTATGCGCGACCACACAATAAATAATAGTACTGGATGAATCTGACTCCATACATCGGGCGCCACAAATCTAAAGCATTAATAATTAATTCCACTAAAACAAATAGATATTAAAGAAATTAGCAGCTAGTATTAATAGTATCTATTTGCTTTCTGCCCACCTTTTTAATAGCTGATATTTTATATGGTTTTTATCTTGCATAACGCATACATAAATGCATTCATTAACAGAGGAATGTCGAATGAGTGTTTTTTATCAACGTTATTTTATCGTATTAATCTATATAATTAATTAATCGCAGCATATTAATATTCGTTAAATGTTTTAAAATTTTAAATAAATATTTATACTATTTTGTAATCAGAGTACCAAAGATCACGTTCATTGACACATGGCAGACGGCAAACTTTTTTAAGCTGGAAAGATAAAACAGAGCGTTTAGTGGATCACATTGATTGTGCAAGTGTTATGCGGGTCGGAGAAATTGAATAAATTATGTAACTAACCGAATGTGCTTCACAAAAAACTGGTTACCACGTTAAGGTTGGACAAGTGCACAGCGCACCAAAATAAAAAAAAACAATGTCATTTCAATAAAAGTCAATTTTAGATTTTCATGAATTATTTTGGTAGTTGTATATGGACAAGCGAGCTTTGCACGACGTTAATAAAAAATCTAAATCAACCTATTGTGATAAAATTGCAACGTAAAAGATTATCTACATATAAAAATTTCATCCAATTCGTTAGAGATGTTTCTGATTAACCAAGTTCCTATTATTAAATACAAAAACTGCTAGCGTAAAGTATATGATTTATTAATATATAAAATCGAAACACGCAGTTTATGTTTAATTACTTTTCTGTGATATTCGGTCAATATGTTTAGTCACATCGAGTTTTTAGAATGCAAAACTAACATAAGGTACGTGAGGGTAATATTATGGTCATCTTAAGCTTTGCCGTCCTATAAAATCAAATCTAGGAGGAGGACAGAGAAAACCACGAAGTCGTATACTATAACTAATATATTAAGGAAAAAATAGCAAACAAGCTTTGGCAATATTAGGAACACTGAAAAATCAACTTAAAAAAAACTAACCATCAAACCAAAACAAAACACCATTTTGAGCCTTTATTATTTGATTGAACGATGAAAAGCTATCGTATCAGACTATCTATGCAAACAAGATTGTAGTTTTTGAGTTATAAGAAAGTGACCCTATTAACCGGGTGACCATATTACCCCCACGTACTATACTAGTACAAGCCAAATAGTATAATAAGCTTATCAACTTAGATGGAATGCCTCGTTTCCAGTAAAAAGGGTCTCTGGTTCTCTACACTCACAAAATATACGAAACACAACAAAGTGCTGTAATACGTAGGTACACAGCTTATTGTTTCATGCATTTGTGTTTGCTTCTTCATATACCAGACCTAAGTTTTATTACTCCTGCCTTACTAAAATTTACATACTTCTCACATTAATAAAATATAATACCATGTCTTTCCTTTGCAATAAACAGCTTCATAATGTATTATTAAGTATT